TTATTTACGTAAGTGTTTTCCGGAGTGGAATTTCCTTCTGAACACGAATGTCGTATTTATTTTCAAATTAATTCACGTCGTTCCTTAAAATTTAGAAAAAACTGAAATATGGGCTCATGGGGCAAGGATAGTTAGAGCTATTGCGGCTCGATAAAATCCTGCTAAAGGGACTGCAAATTATAAAAAAATGGTTAATTGTTCTTTTTAGGTTGATATACATAATCGTGCGTAACTATATACGGAAAACGAAGCTTATTGACCAAGAAAATAGTGTCAAATTATTTAGTTTGAAGTTTTTCAATTCAAATAATGCCTTGAAAAATACTTTTAAAGGTATTATGTGTTCCCAAAATCTTTTTAAAAATGATTTGGTCCCGTGAAAAATAAATTTCGACTCTGAGCGTCGACGCCAACCTCATGGAGGTTATACGGAACAAAAGACGATCGCAAGATATCATTCAATATTTCTTTATGAAAACCGATAAACGATATAAAAAGCAAATGCAAAGTAAGTCAAGCTGTAAATCAGTTTTTTAAATAAAAATTTTAGACTAAACAAACCCTAAAAACCCGAGAACATGTTTTAAGTGACTCCGTTGAATTTTTAAATTAAATGTCCGAAAAATCTTGAGTAGTGACTTTCTTGAGCTTAAATAAATTTTTTGAGAAACTCTTTCGTCATATTGGATCCTCCAAATTGAATTTTGAGAAACTAACATCATATTCGTAATCAGCAACCCCTAAAACCCTTATACTGTGATTTTTGCTAAAAATAATCATTTTCTAGAAAAGTTGACAGTTGTTTTGACAGCTGTCAATTGTCAAAATGTAAATCTGACATCAGATGGGACATATACGTCCCGCAGGCGTTAAAGGGTTAAACCTTGAACCTTACATTACCCCCAACAGGTTCTAAGTATTCTCCCATTTGCCGTTTATCAATTAATTAATTTGTATAAACAAAGATATTTGATATTGCATACAAAATTGAAAATCAAAGAAGACTCCCTTTTACTTTTTTGACTCGCATTTGGAAAAAAAACTAAAAATTCATATTATTATTTATAATTATCTTTTATTAATACTATAACAAAAATCAACTTTAATTTTTTCATTTTGCAAAACTCACGTAAAAATAGGAGACTGTTTCTATTTACCCCTAAAAACTAGAAATTATGGGTAAATAGAAACAGAAATTCAAACAATATTTTTTATATCAAAGAGAAAAAATTGTTTCTATCAACCCAGGTGCGAATTTCGGTCCGCCGCCAGAGATGGTTGGTTGGCCCATGGTCAGCCCAACTAGGGCTGCACGAGAGTCGGCCGTCCTAGTTGGACCGACCGTGGTTTCCATAGTTGGGCCGACTGTGGGGGATAATGTTCGGCATGACTTGGGCAGCCACAGTTGGGCCGACCATATGGCACGACGGTCGGCAGCCACAGTTGGACCAACCTTGGCCGCCTTAGTTGGGCCGACTATGGAGAACAATGGCCGGCATGAGTAGGGCACCCACAGTTGGGTCGACTATGGGGAACTATGGTCGGCTTGACCTTTGGAGCCACAGTTGGTCCGACTTGGGTACCCATAGTTGGGCCAACCAAGTCGACCCTAGGTCGGTTGACGTTATCAATTCGCTAGTTGGCCCGTCCTCTGGCTGCCCAAGGTGGGCCGACTGAGCACATGATTGGCCCAACTTGTGGCCGACCGCCAACTCGCACCTGGGAAATTACAATACTATTTCCAGCATTATAAAAATGTATTGAAAATAGTATTAATCTATATTCTCATCGGTACATAGCATTTAACAAATATAGACTTGTTTTATAGGTACCCAGTGAGAAATGAAAGGTCTAATCGACGTCTATTTAGCGTCTGGACCAAGATCTAGATAAGGTCTAGGTTGTAGAAGTCGAAATGTTGTTCTAGGGAAATTTTAAAATATCCAGTGCTGTGAGGGGTAATGTAAGTGAGCATCACATTTCGAGTTTTTTCTTAAATACTTAAAAAAAGATTTTAAAAAATTGGTTTTAGACAAGACGTCGGTTTTATATGTTCAAGGTACTGTTTAAACAATTTACTACTTCTTAAAAACACATTTAAATTAACGTCTATTTTTAATTAATTTAAATCAAATTTAGACCTAGACCTGTTCTCAACGTCTTAGACGTCGGATAGACCTTTCTTTTCTCGCTGGGATATTTTATAGCGCATAGACGCAAGATCATTGTTTCTTACATTGAATGTTAAATTTCTTCAGATTTCTATAGGATTTGTCAACATAACAACGGTAAGTATAATGAAAGCAGAGTAAAACTGAGAGAGAAACTGAGAGAGTGAAAGAGAATAAGAGAGAACTACTAAGAACAAGAAAGAATAAAAGAGAATAGGGGACAATAAGAGAGAACTAGAGAGAATAAAAGTGAATGGTATATTTTCAAACTTATGTAATTCATTATTATTTAATAGTTTAAATTACACAGCTGATTACGAATTTGAAGTCAGTTTTCAAAAATTCAAAATGGCGGATCCAATATGGCGGACATTTTTTGAAAAATTTGCCGGATTTGCTTGAAACTCGCTACTCGGGGGTTTTTGGGGTCTCTGATTACGAATTTGAAGTCAGTTTTCAAAAATTCAAAATGGCGGATCCATTATGGCAGGATTTTTTGTCAACTTTATTAGATTCGCTTGAAACTCGTTACATGAGGGTTTTTGATGTCGCTGATTACGAATTTGAAGTCCAATTTACAAAATTTAAAATGGCGAATCCAATAAAGATGTTCTTTTGAGAAATCAAAAACTTGAGTGTTTTAATTCACCCGTATTTACTTTGTATCTTGCGTGTGCCTGCGTCCAGGGCACCTCCACGTGGTGTACATTGGGTAACGCAAATGCCGACGGTACATTATATAGTAAAATAGACGTGATAACATAAACATTGAAACTAAAGATATTACGCGCGTTTAATAGCACAAATTGTAGGTTTTTTTAGATTATGTCCGAATCCTGATATGATAAATTTAAACTGACTTCAAATTCGTAATCAGCGCCCCCAAAAACCCCCGAGTAGCAAGTTTCAAGCAAATCCAGCATTTTTCAAACAAATATCCGCCATATTGGATCCGCCATTTTGAATTTTTGAAAACTGACTTCAAATTCGTAATCAGAGACCCCAAAAACCCCCGAGTAGCGAGTTTCAAGCAAATCCGGCAAATTTTTCAAAAAAATGTCCGCCATATTGGATCCGCCATTTTGAATTTTTGAAAACTGACTTCAAATTCGTAATCAGCGACCCCAAAAACCCCCGAGTAGCGAGTTTCAAGCGAATCCGATAAATTTTCCAAAAAAGTGTCCGCCATTTTGGTTTTTTGAGGTTTTTTCAAAAACCTGATGTGATGGGGTTGAATGGGCCTCGGATTCGGATTCAGCGACCCAAAAGACATAGAAAATATATAGTCAGACCCCCAGATCAGAACTTTTTTTTTTTTTTGTGTGGCTGTGTTATTTTATAATTAACACCATTTTTTAAATAACTCTTTGTATCTTTTAACATTTGCATACTTGAAATTGATTTTTTCTTAAATTTTGTAAGAAATAATTAACTGTTTCTATTTACCTCTAAATTTTAGCAAAGTTGAAAAATTTAGGGGTAAATAGAAATAGTTGATAATTGCGATTTAATGATACCCATATTTTCTACTACCCCATAAAATTGTTCCACGGAAGTTAAATAAAACTCCATGCACAAAAAAACCAAAAGTATTACGATTTGAAAGAAAAAACTTATATTATTGGTGAAACTAAGCAAATCTGTTTCTATAGAGTAAGGATTTTCCCTTCCGGAATGTTTAATAAAAAGTTGAGAAAAATTCGATCCTTGGAAGGAATAAAATAACATACATTTTTATGTTATTTTATTCCTTCCAAGGATCGAATTTTTCTCAACTTTTTATCAAATCTGTTTCTATTTACCCCAACTAACCCTATACGGACAACAGTGTATAGGTTATGATAACAAACTAGAATTTGGAATAACGCATGCGCAGTATACAAGATGCGCAGTATAGCTCAAATACGTATAAAATTTGTGAGGTAATATACGCGCCTTAGGCTGCTCGCACAAGAAAAGACGGAGCAGTGTACAGGATGTGTTTCAAATGAGTTAGAAAAGGAAAGAGCGATATTCCTCTCATTTTCTATCTCATTTGAAACACATCCTGTATACTGCTTCGTCTTTTCTTGTGCGAGCAGCCATAATCTATAGATTCTGAAGGGAGATTTGAGATAAGTCGAGCTGAACTGTGATTGGTCGAGGGTAACCGGAATTGGAAGTTAATTCAAAATTTATTTGTCCTATTCTTTTTTTGGCTTAATTCTTATATGGTCTAAATTTTATTTTGTCTAATCTTACTATATTCTAATTGTTATTTGTTCTAATATTAATCTAACCTAATTCACAATAGGCCTAATCTTAATGTAACCTAATTCTCATTTGGCCAAAAATTTATTTGTCCTAACTCATGGAAGCAAAGCATGAGTGGGAATGTGATAAGACATATTTTTGTTTTTTTTCTCTCTTATGCTGTGTTCATGAACAGGTGACAAATGAAGTTTAGGCCAAGTAAGAATTAAATCAAATGAGAATTAGGTTATCTATTAATAGTTGGCCAAATAAAAATTAGGTTAGATAATTATTAGAACAAAATTAACAATTAGGATATAGTAAGATTAGACGAAATGAGAATTAGACATTGTTGTTTTCGAACCAATCCTAATCCAGCGAGCTAATCCTCTATTTTCTTTATCATTACATTCTTTACAAGTGTTCTAAGCAAATGCTATGCCGGAGTTAAACTCTGGTATGGATACGGACTTTTCTACTTGTGTACTACTACACTGGTTATCTGAATTTATTTATTTGTTATTGTTTAAATTGAAATTATAATGTATTTTGTTTGATGAAGCTAGAATACCTACAAGAGCAATATTATATTTTCAGATGGCTGAGTTGACGTATGCTATATCAGTATTTACAAAAGGAATGTTGTCTTTGAGAAGCGTTTCATTAGGTGTTTTAAGAGTAGATTCTCATCATCTTTTAGAAGATGGTATTCGACAGGAATTGGCGAAAAAAGTTACTTTAGCTTTGCGCAAGAGTTTAGTTTTCGATTTAAAATCAAAGGTACTTAAACTGATTGTAAATAATTTGTAATTAAATAAAAATTATAAGCATAAATTATTTTTATCATATTATCCCTTAAAGCGCACTTGAGTTTTTGACACCCATGCTCAAGATTCATTTTAATTCGTGAAAATTTAATATTTGGGGACATCGACGACAAAGTTTGTATTTAAGTGTCAATTGCTCAAAATCAACTGCGAAAAATTTCTGGATGACTGACATAAAGTGTGAGGTTTGAGGTTATAAGAGTGATTTTAAAACATATTTTTTGTAAATCCTGCAAGTGATGTTTTCCAATATTTAGCGATATGCGATATGTCTCCTTATACTACTTCGTGACGACTATAAAACTTTTTTTTAGTTAAAATAGATATACACACTTTATATTCATGAAAATTTTAAAAGTATGCGCTTTAAGGGTTAATTGAAACATTCATATATATTTCTCAAATATTGTATTATATTGCAGAATCCACTGATGGATAAATTACAAAAATTGGCAAATGTAATGGACGGATATAGGAAATCTTTTCAGTATATTCAAGATTATATAAATATTAATAGTTTAAAAGTTTGGCATGAAGAGGTACGTATTCTGTCGCTCTAAGAAAAAGTTTCTATCTTGCTATAGTAGATGTATTCTTGCAAATTTTAATATGATAATAATTTGATCAGTCAAATAATGTTAAACTAATTATTTTGTCAACTTCTCGGGACGCGTCTCAATCACTCACACACAAACACACATATACAAATAAAAGATAGATAATAAATCATAAAATTTCGAGAAATAATACATAATACAAAAAATATATTAAATTCCTAAAAAAATCAATCAAAAAACCAATAAAAACAATGGGTCAAAAGACCATGGAAAATGAGATACACAAAAAAATATAAAATTAAACTTATCGCTCGTGAGATTTTTAAGATGGTAGCTTCGGTTGGAGTCCTCGGGAATTTTATGTCAAATGAATATTATGTCAAATAAAATTTATGTCAGATAAGATTTATATCAAAGTAATTTTATGTCAAATGATTTTATGTCAAATAAGATTTATGTCAAATGAAATTTAAGGTTTAATCACGCGAGTCACGAACGGTTAGCCTGACAAGTAACACTACCCAATTGTTACTCAACGATTGAGATCGGACTATGGGCATTTTGCACAGAATCGAAAAACATTTGACACGTGTATTTTTATTTTGGCAGACATGATGCTTTAAGGGTTGAAAATGAGGATTGAAATATTTGGATTTTTTATTACCACATATACAATAAAAATCACTATTACACAACAACACCATGAAAAAATCCCGAGTTGAACCTTTATCCTATGTATTTTGATACGCTGAACACGAATCTGGTGTCAGATTTGTTCCATCACGTCAGCAGTTTTTCCTAACCTCAAAAAACATGTCGGATTTCAAGGGTAAGCGGAATGTTTTTAAAGTTTAATGGTTTTACATTAGTATCTGGATGTTTTTTTGGCCCCTGATTACCAATCTGAAGTTAAAAACTTTAAATCCAATATGGTAAAATTAAAATTTTCAAAGAACATAATGGCGGATCCAATATGGCGGACGAATTTTTAAAAATTGTTAGATTTTAATGAAATTTATTATCTAGGGGTTTTTGGGGTCGCTGATTACGAATTTAAAGTCCAATTTTCAAAATTTAAAATGTCGGATGCAATATGCCGCACAAGTTTTTTAAAGTCGTTAGAATTTTATGAAATTTTTTTATCTAGAGGTTGTTGGAGGTTCTGATTACCTACAATCAAAATTCTAAAAATAAATTTAAGTTACTTCGCTGTTTCTCGCTCTCTGATAAACCCAGGAATAACCAACGTGGAGGTGGCGAGTGTCTATTCCCTTTTTGTTTTTTATATTTTTAGTTTTTTTTGTTTTTTGTATTTTTAGTATTTTTTTTTGTTTTTTTCGCTTTTTTATTGTTTTTTTACATTATCTCGTGTAACTTTTTAGTCTTTAATTAAACCTGATAATTTTTACAATAATGAGGAGAACTCTCATATTTTGAGTCAAAAAAATGTTCAAAGCACATGTACATGTAAATCTTGGAAATGAAAATTGATTATGCGTCAGAGATTGCAGTTTTAAGATATTGTTTTTTAAATGCAAATTAACTTCGTAGTCATATAAAATGATTGAATCGGAAAAATGTTTCACGAAGTTTTTCCAGGGTCTAAATCCATAGACATCCAATGGCTGTATCATTCCTGTTGTTCCTGCAGGTATTGTCAAAATTTTCACATCTTTTCCATTAACATTTACCCTGCTCAAATTTTTTTTTGTTTGTCCTGTCCAGGAATCTAATAAAAGAATTGACTGTTGATTAGAAACGGGCAAGTAAATATCCTTATACCATTGAGCTGACAGATAAGAAGTTAACGTTCCTGACCTTGAGGGAAGTACAACAATGTTTTCAGCTTTATAAATGTTTTTTTCAACGAGTGGCCCAAACTTTCCATCTTTTTCCTGCAAAACAATAAACAATGGAGATTTTAACACTCCGCTAGCACTTACAGTGGGTTGAATGGTATAACTATGCGTTAAGGAATTTAAGGATTGAGCAATACATTCAATCTTTGCATCTCCTTTAAAAGATTAAGTTCTTCCGCCGTGTACTTCCAAATTAAAACCTGATTGGTCCGAGTTATAAACATTATCTGCTCCAAATAGCGAGATTTGTTCACTAACATGAGTAAGAAATTGATCTGCTTCTTTTTTAAAACATTTTTATTTGCTAACTGGGTTTGGGTAACAAATTTGTTTACTTTTCGGGACACAATTTTGTGCTCTTTTTTGAAATTATAAATCCATTTTGTGGATGCTGTAAACAATTCTTTGGATACACTCATTCGAGCTCTTGCTTTCAAAGCACATCTTCTTATATATACGTCATGAATCGGCAATGACTTATCGCGTGCATTTTGAAATTCATTTAAGACACACTTGCATATTTCTGATAACTTTTCTCTGTAGCTACCACCATTTTCAACTTGCACTTCCCATCTGTAAAGACTTGCTTTATATTTGAGCTTTTTGAATTAATTTTGCACGGTTTTAAATTTCACTTTTCCATTTTTAGCAGATTTCCAGTATTCAACGGCTCTCTTCTTATAATCAAAAGGTATACTGACTTTAACTTTTTTATTATTACACAGCCCCACAAAAAAAAAGTGTCATGTACTTTTGACCGGAATACCCTAACCCTATGTATTTTGACGCGCTGAATACGAATCCGAAGTCCGTTTTGCTCCATCACGTCAGGATTTTTTTCTAACCTCAAAAAACATGTCGGATTTTGAGAAGTAGGCGATTTTTTTAAAAATTGCTGTATTAACTTCAAACTTGGTATCTGGGGGTTTTTTGTGTCGCTGATTACGAATCTGAAGTTAGATTTTCAAAATCCAAAATGGCGGATCCAATATGGCGGACGAATTTTGAAAAAATTTTAAGATTTACTTCAAACTTGGTATCTGGGGGTTTTTTTGGGTCGCTGATTACGAATATGATGTCAGATTTGAAAAATTCAAAATGGCATATCCAACATGGACTTCTATCGGACATATTAGATACGCCATTATCTGTATCTGGGGGTTTTTTGGGTCGCTGATTACGAATATGATGTCAGTTTTCAAAAATTCAAAATGGCATATCCAGCATGGACTTCTATCGGCCATACTAGATACGCCATTATCAATTTTTGAAAACTGACATCATATTCGTAATCAGCGACTCAAAAAACCCCCAGATACACTATTGCACATTAATTTTTAAAAAATTTCGTAAAATAATGTCCCCCTATCAAAAAAAAATTCAAGGGGTAGTTCCCCCCATAAATCAGCTTTTGGGGAAAAACAAAACATACGTGTCAAATTGTTTTTAAAAAACTACAAAACTGCCAAGTTTCAGAAAAATCGTCGTATGGCACTTCCCTAGTGTTACTTGTCAGCAACTTAGAAAACCTGTAGATACCAAATTTCATAATAATCTGACAATTTTTTAAAAATAATTCCTTAATATTGAATCAGACATGTCGAATTTCGGAAATCTGACATCAGATTCGTAATCAGCGACCCAAAAAACCCCTAGATACCAAGTTTGAAGTAAATCTTAAAATTTTTTCAAAATTCGTCCGCCATATTGGATCCGCCATTTTGGATTTTGAAAATCTAACTTCAGATTCGTAATCAGCGACACAAAAAAACCCCAGATACCAAGTTTGAAGTTAATACATCAATTTTTAAAAAAATCGCCTACTTCACAAAATCCGACATGTTTTTTGAGGTTAGAAAAAAATCCTGACGTGATGGAGCAAAACGGACTTCGGATTCGTGTTCAGCGTGTCAAAATACATAGGGTTAGGGTATTCCGGTCAAAAGTACATGACACTTTTTTTTTGTGGGGCTGTGTTATCAGTAATTACTTCTTCAAAGTCCTCTTCATAATCTTCATCGACTATTACAGGATCTTGTATCACGCTTTCGTCTTCAAATCATAATTTTGAAGAAATTTCAAAAGCTACATTAGCTCCAAGAGCATCTTTTATTACATTTTCCAGCTGTGAAGCAAACTCTTTCTCAACTGTAGTTACGATAGATTCAAAATCATACTGTTGATCATCAAAGCGTTCTCGTAATAGCCGCATAACGTTATTATGATTTATCATTATGGCTATTGGGAAGATCTAGAGTCCTAAAAAGGACTGTTTGAAATAGCTGTAAAAAAAAAATATTCAAATATTTAATTTACTTACTATGGTGCAAACAATGTTTTTCTAAATCTTTGTCATTTTTCAGTGCTCAAATTTTAAGTTCAAGGCAAGAGAAGTATTTATTTATATATACATTTTATATGACTACGAAGTTAATTTGCATTTAAGAAACAATATCTTAAAACTGCAATCTCTGACGCATAATCAATTTTCATTTCCAAAATTTATTAAAATTTTTAAATATGAGTGGTACAAAAGTGTCTACATTGAGGAAAAACCACTAAAATGCGAAACGCCAGTAACTTATTGCTTTAAAACCTGCGACACTACTTGTAATTACTGCGCTAAAATTGCATTTTTCAGATTTGCCTGGTGTACAAAGTACATGTGCTTTGAACACTTTTTTGACTCACAATATGAGAGTTCTCCTCATTATTGTAAAAATTATCAGGTTTAATTAAAGACTAAAAAGTTACACGAGATATTGTAAAAAAAACAATAAAAAAGCGAAAAAAACAAAAAAAAATACTAAAAATACAAAAAACAAAAAAAAAACTAAAAATATAAAAAACAAAAAAAAACAAAAAGGGAATAGACACTCGCCACCTCCACGTTGGTTATTCCTGGGTTTATCAGAGAGCGAGAAACAGCGAAGTAACTTAAATTTATTTTTAGAATTTTGATTGTAGGTAATCAGAACCTCCAACAACCTCTAGATAAAAAAATTTCATAAAATTCTAACGACTTTAAAAAACTTGTGCGGCATATTGCATCCGACATTTTAAATTTTGAAAATTGGACTTTAAATTCGTAATCAGCGACCCCAAAAACCCCTAGATAATAAA